AATGTATAATAACTAAATACTGTAATTTTTGTTATTTAATTAATATATTTAAACAGTTGCTTTTTAGTTACTATTTAAATTTATATAAATTGATTTCTTTTTTTGATTTTCTTTCCATTCATTTCTAAACTATATGTTATTTTTCAGATGTCAAGAATAAGGCAAACTTTATCTAATGAAGATGGTTTTGATTTGGAGCATGTTAACGCTAAAAATAATCCATGCGGATTAGTTTTTGAGTTACGAAAGAAGAATCAAGGTCTAAAAAGGTAATTTATATGAAAAATGTTGTATTGAATATATATAAGTAATATGTAATACTCACACTGAAAATTTTATATACACAATTTAAAAAGAAACATAGAGTATTTATAAGATATTTGCATGAAGGTTTTATGACTTCTTTTCCTTGTGCGTCCCATGTGTAAAACGTGAAAAATCTTTGATAATGATTTTTTTAAATCAAGTATAATATCTGTCTCAATAATCAATATAAATGTCGTAACAACTATCATAGGATTATAATAAGAATATTTTTCACTGGTATATCAGATCATAAACTTAAATATTAATAAATTTCCTTCTCACAGTAATGTACCCCCCGGTCGTGGCCTGCGTCTACTCAGACGCGGCGGTCGATTGTTCGGTGTGGCGCTCACTCGTCTCTGTAATGGAACGCCACCACCCGCGTTGCTGCACGCGTTAAAAAGACTACGGGTCACGGCACCACTCACGCACGGCGTCTTTAGGAGGAGCGCGAACGCTAAAGCCCTTAGACTGCTGAGAGATAAGGTGGGTCATAGTAGAATTAGATGCTAACTGGTCAGTTCTATTCTAATTATGTATTTAATCACTTTTCTTTTGGTCAAGATTCACCACATTTCTTTCGTAATATACAAAAATTAGAAGTATAAAGAGGAAATAATTGTTAACATTGTCGTAATTATCTCAATAATGTCATTATTATCTTTAAAATTTTAATGTATATGGTGATTGTGCAGTTGGACGCTCTTGGTCCATGGGCGGAGGGTGGTGTTGAATTGGAGCGAGCCCCGGTCCTGCTTGTAGCGGCGCTGGTCAAAGAGTTCTTTCGCGCCCTGCCTCAGCCTCTTCTCGCTTCTGAACTGTACCCTGCCTGGCTGCAGGTTCTCGGTAAGTTCATGCAAAGCAATTAAATTATATTTATCAAATATCAGAAGTCATTAAGTCACCTTTTTTATAAGCCTTATAAAATATATAAGTGATTATAGATGAAGGTTTTGAATTTTTTTCGCTTCATTTCAGGTTTGCCTCAAACAGAAAAAGTAAATGCCGTACGCTCCTTACTCTTGAAGCTCCCAAAATCACACTACAACATGTTGATGTACTTCGTTTGCCTTCTACAAGCAATCGCTAAGAAATCTAATATTAATCTAATGTGTCCTATGAACTTGGGTGTTTGTGTTGGTCCCAGTTTATTGTGGCCAAATGTTCCCTGTGACAAAGCTCCCAAAGCAGTGCCATTGATAGTTGAACTACTTATAGTAAAAGCTGAGGCTCTTTTTGGTCCTCAAGTAACTGGTCTTCTCGGAAATGGAAGCCCTGAATCATCAAACGCCCTTCTAGACTCTGGTGCTGAAGAGAGCGATAGCCTTCATTCAGTTGGAATCTCCTTGGATTCCATGGAATTGTCGACTCCCAGAAAAGAAAAATTATCATTAAGTAGAGACTCGGGTTTGACTCTTTCAGAAGATGATTCAAATAGTAACGGGGGAAACAGCCCCGCACCTCGTAACATTTTACATAGTCTGTCCGCACCTACTTGCAACATTCAACAAGATCCCAAGTTAAACTCGCGCTATACAAACGAAAACCCCAACGTCAATGGTTTACCAAAAATTCCCCAGAGGCAAAATAATATCTACTCCAATAAAGCAGAAATGTACAGTACTGTTAATGAAGAACTTTACACTATACCATACATGGGAGAAAAATACGTCCATAATACAATTAATATCGGTATCTCCAATGGCATTGATGACAGAAATTATATATCGAAGACAGCAGTACAGCGCTCAACCGCCGATATTTACGGTCAAAGTCCTGCAAAGTATATTACTGGCTTAGAGCCTCAAAAACCACCAAGAAGCAATGTTTCAAAAGCAGCAAGGACATCAAAAGTATACAGTATGTATGCTGAAACTCAAGAAATTGATAAAAATGTTACTAACAAAAATTTCAATAGAGCTAAAAGCTCTGATAACTTATTAGAAGTCAAGCAAGAAGCTATGGATAAACAACGCGACATGGTTTCCAGTCAAGAAAATATTGTTTATAGCAACATTCACGACCTTGCCATGTTTACGGAAAACATACAACGGCAAAACCAATACCAATCACATGCGGAAATTAGAAATAATTCAAACTATTCTCGTGTTTACACTGGTTGGGAGAACAAAAGCCCTAACTATTGTGCAAACGGTCAAGTTAACTGTCAAAATGAGAACATTTACGGACAGATGACTAAAAATTCAGGAGATTCCTCGCAAAACAAAACACCAGATGGGAAAACAACTCCGGCAGCCACCATTTTTACAAGAAATGACTGGTCTCGTCAAGCAGCGAGGACGAAAAGCTTAGAAGTGGGTGAAGAAGGACACAGTAATGTTACGGAGAAATCTCGTAATACAAATTACGAAATAAACATTGTAAACTGTTGTCGAAAAAGACGGTTCGATCCTGCTCACCTGTGTACGAAGAATTGCATAACACTCTCGATGGTGCACAATCGAGACAAAGACAAACATGCGACTAATCAACAAAATTCTTATAACTACGTGGATGATATATCCAACAACTCTGAAGAAAAATGCAGAATTCGAAACTACAATAACAATAAACTGAATCAATCGAAGTCATTGGCAAATATAATATTACAGAGTGATTCAAGCAGTAACGATACTTTATACCAACCGCAAAACTCGTTTCATAGCCGATCGACTGAATCAACGGCTAGCGAAAATTCCTTTGAAAATTGCTACACAAGCCAATACATAGAGCCCCTGTACACATCGGTCTATAATAGAAGAAGAGACATATTTCACGAAGAAAAGAGCAACATATTCTCTTCAGATATATACAAAGCGACACCCACATCAGTGAAACCGGATTATGCATCTGAAAAGGAACAAAACAATAACAAAAAGCCATTAAACATGCCACCACCAGTTCCACCTAGAAAAATGGTATATCAAAGGGTATTAAAGAAGTTCCAACCAGTTCACGTGAACAAAGACGACAAGGCTACGCGTTCGAAATCTGTGCCTCCATTATACAGAGACCCGCCTAATGGTACTGAGAAAAACGGACAAAATGGTGTGGCTCTCTACTGTTCGGAATCCGACACAGAATCGGAATCGTACGTGTAAACGCACTTTACTTTTAACTATATTAAGGGTGCAATAGTAGTACTGTAATACAAACGAGTAATATTTTCTAACATTCTAATATATTTACATTGAGATCATAAGTTATAATCTCTAGATTGTTGTGTAGTTTACTCAGTTTACGTTATTATAGTACTTCTATTTTTTATAATCTTACCGTGTGAATCCCGCCTTGAAATTTCTATGTATGTGACCATAACCCAAGTTTTGGTGATGTTATTCCAAAGAAGTAAGGATAGTTTTCAAACTTAATGTAATATGTACAGGAATTTTTGTTCTTATTAAAAATCTGATTAAATATTGCATATGTATGTAGTAGTTAGAAATAACAACAGCCACTTTTTAAAATTTTAATCACTACTTAATTAGTTGTTGTGTATTGGATTATACGTAACGTTAGAACTATTGTGTCATGTATGTTTTAGAGTTTCAAATAAATATATAATATAAAATTTAATTAAATAGATGTGTATATAGTGTATGATAGTGTACCTATATGTACCTACTGATATAATTATTAAAAATATATATTATTTGTAATGATATTAAAAATGTCTTTTTATTCCAATCAATATAACCTAATGCTTAAATAAATCTTAATCTTTGATAATACTACCCGAGAAAAATCAATTATACAGGATTTTATAGATTTTTTGTTATCACTAATAATTAATTATTTATTTGATTAATTATAATTTATTAAACAAATATATGAGTTATTGACGGTGCACAATCATATCAAGGGTCAACAGATTTTCAAAAGAAAAGTGCCATTGGCACTTCTTTAGGAACACAGATTGTAGTTGTGTTTGTTATATTTTTTTTTAATACAATAAAAATAAATTACTAGGTATACTTTAAAATTAATAAATAATTACAATACCCATAAATGTATAATATGAAATAAATTATAAAATCTAAAAGAAAACCATTGAAATATCACAAATATTAAAAATAATTTAATTTCATAAATTCAAAATTACACAATTCATCACAGTCATAAAAAATGTTGCCATTTAAAAAAATTACCAATCACTTGTAATATTGGCGTTCAACACACATATCAATTATGTAAAAATATTTATATTTTTCATCTTTACTTACATGACAATAAAAAATAACATAATTCGCATAAACTCCAGTGCTTACGTACTTGTACAATAGTTAAAAGAGATCACTTAACTATGAAATGGTCATCTAATTGTACGTATCTAAACCAGTTCAATTTAATATACTTATCAAATATTTTTAAGTATCCTACCGCTTACTCACTAGGGAGATACTTTTACGCTTTAATTAACATCATTATAAATTTTTTTGCAAACCTGTTGATTAAATTAATACATAGTGTTAAAACACACAACAATATAGTTCTATTGAAAAATTGTTGTCACTGAATGACTTCAATTAGAAAATTTTTTAGCAACTGCTATTATTCCCCTTATTTACTGTCACGTGTATTAAGTACGTATTATTAAAAAACATGGTTGTATTTCCAGCGACCCAAATTAGAAATTGAGTACAATTGTCATATCTGTCTGTGTATTAAAATTACACTTAAATGTAATAAAATTATTATGTTTTAACTGGTATATTGACGGTGGTTTCTTCACTGTTGTTAGTTGGCCTCTTGTTTCTATCATCTTCCGCTGGGGCGACGTAATTCCACGACTGCGTTTCACCGGTTCCGAAGAGAATGAAATAAACCGCTGCAGCAATATATATTGAGGCTCCCGTGAGGAAAACTGGCCTCCATTCCGCAAAACCATTCTGAAATTAAAAATATTATGTAACAAATATAATACTATAATAGATTCTATCAAAGTCATAGTATATAAATTACAAATAATTTTATATTAATAACTCACCCCATGTTTGGTGAAGTAGGCAGTCACAAGCGGTGTTATGAAACCGGCTGTGTTACCAATACCATTGGCTATGCCGTAAATGGTGCCGGCGAAGTTTGGCGCCAGGTCCTGGTGGTTCACTAAGTTAGTGAGTGTAGCAGCACCGTTGGAGCCCATAGAAAAGGTAATAAGAGCCACTGACAAGATGGGAGCACAGCCTGTGTATCCCAACCCGATGAGTAGCAGACCCGGCACCACGTGGGAGAATAAGCAGAAGAACTTCCTCATAAATGTCGTGGATACTACGTTTTGTTTGACGATTCTGGAATCAAAATAATGCGTTTTTTGGTGGATTTAATTTATATTTTTTTCATTGTACTTATATCGGACGAGGACGAGTTCTGATAAATTTAACCTTTTAAATTCTAAGAATGCAGATATATTAGTGCTACTATATTCAAAAATATAACTGTATTATTTATATACTATGAAAAAAAAATATAACTTTAACGACTTCGCAGTCGCTACATACAGTTATAAAAATAATAACAAAAGAAAAAAATCGAGAGGAAGAATACGTCACTTCTAACCATAAGAATAGTTTCTATATAGAGTAGAACTCTTAAAAAGTTTAATCAGATAATCATTAAGTTTATATCAAGTATATATATTTTACCTGTCACCAATAGCTCCGAATATCAGTGAAAATATCATCCTCGCAAGATAAGGTAGTGATGACAGAGTGCCTGTTGAAGTCAAGTTATATCCGAGAGCACTTGACACGTATTTTGGTGCGGCTGTCATCACGAAGTATATACCCCATGTGTTACCATAGTGAAGGATAACCATGGCGAGGAACGGAAACGACGTGAATATATCTTTAAATGGTGGAACAATCTGAAAATGTGACATTTTACATATATGTAGAATATACTACAAATTGCTTATAAAAATGTATAAATTTCTGTGATAAAGGCTTTTAATTAATATGACAATTTAAACTCTTCATCCTATTGGTTTTAATGAACGGGATATAAATACAACACTTACTTTATGCTCCTTGGAACTCTGTTGCACTTTATCTCCAATGGCACTTAGGATGTACGTCTTTTCTTCTTCGCTGATACGTGGGTGTATGACGGGAGAATCATATACAAGGAACCACCATGCAGCACACCACACTATGGCTATAATACCTACAAAATATACATTAAAAAAATGATATTTTTTAGTAAATCAGCTTATATGTATATCATTTTTTATTGTAGAGATTAGTTTAGATACGTAATATTTGATTGGACCAAAACAAATCAGTTGGTATTAAATAAAACATTGTACCTGGTACATAAAATGCGTAAGTCCACCCAAAGTTCTCAATGAGAGGTCCACTTAGCGACCAGGTGACGACGGTTCCTATGGCCCCTCCTAGAAGAGCGCTCACGAATTTCCCCTTTTCTGCTGGTGGAGCCCAATGAGCAACAAGCGCGTGTAGGGACGGGAAAAGGAAGCCCTAAATGAAAATAACGATGTTAAATCTTGTATATAAGAGAATCTGATTAAATTATATTTATAGAAAAAGAATAACATGACACAAAAATAACATTGTGATATCTAAAGTGTCCAACTTACATACGATAAATTTCAAATTGCTCTATTTGACTTTATAATTTAGAAACTTATCTCTCTACATGTATTATGTATTAGTTTCGAAATTTGAAATATAAAAATAATAAATATTTTTTACATTTAATTTATCGTAATATACCTAAGTAATTTTTATCCTAAGTAATTTATCGTAATATAAGTACCTATAAGTTATAATATATGTTGGGATACTATTACAAAACTTGCGAAATACATTGTTTACTTGTTTAAAATTATAGGTAATAAAACAATAAAATCTTTTTGATTTCTATAACAGTTTACTGAATCGTCGTACAAAGGACTATGTGACATAGTAGTTTTATAATTCCTTGTAATGTTGCAAATTATGCGCAGCAACAACCAGTCACGTTAAAGGATATCACGAGGATTTATTGTTATATTAAATTAATACGAATTATTACACATTACAGATATATCTCACAGATGTAATAGCAAATTATATAATAAATTTTTCAATATTTCAAGTGTGTTATAAAAATATTTCGTAATGAAACAATACAATACATAGATAGACTATTTGTTTTTATTGTGACACGACTTTTCAAATCATACTTTGAGGTTTAAACAAAACCAATATTCTTTAGTACGAGTAAAAATGGAACGTTTTTAATTTTAAAACAAACATTGTCAATGATATATGAATAATAGAATAACTTTTAAACAGAAAAACTATCACGTTTTAGTTAGAAATTAGACAACGCGCTAAAATATTACTGTTGATCTATAGTAGTAAGGTAAACTGTGTTTTATGATGGGCAATAAAGCACTTTATAGACGAAACAATAGACAGCGAGGTACTACGAAACCTTGGAATATAATATCTAGGTAAGATACAAAACAGTATAAACAATTCTAAACAATTAAAATGTAATCTGACTCGGTATGATTTTTAAATTTGAGAATCTTTTAGAGTTAACAAAGTCAATGAAAACAAAATTATTAAAAAAAAACAAATATAGGAGAAGAAATGGAAGAAAGTTGTAGCTTTAATAATAAATTAAAGTACCTACTAATTTACATGAAATCAATAAAAATATTATGCAAATATCAACTTTACTCATGTCGCAATTGATTATAGCCCATAATCATTATGAGATAATAAATATTTTATATTAAATATTTAATTATAATTAAAACTAAACTTGATACTCTTCAGAATCCTCGATGAATATTATAATAGCAAATTTCATGTTTCTTTAATTACCTTGACTTGAAATTATTTTATTAAAATACAAAAGAACTATTATTTATCATGATATTAATTATTAATTTCTAGATTATTAAGTAACAATAATACTTATTTTGTTACGGTATTATGTTAAATTATTTAAATCTATTCCCATAAAGTAAAGAAAACCGACGCTATAGTTGATAATTGGTTTTAGTCTTACCAATTCAAGAACCAGTTAACTTGAAAATCAAATCTTTGTATGGATTCCGTATATTATTGCCTATATGCGTACAATATCTAATACTACCTCCATTATAATAATATTTGTGATACACTTAATTAAATATGATAAGAAGCATAGCAAGTATTAGATAAACGAATTAACTTACCGCAGCAAGACCTATGACGAATCTAGTAGCTACTAGCATCATGAAATGTACTTTTGCTGCTGGAGGAATGAGAATTGTGAGGACCGCAGATATCAACATGGATATGAAGACTACATTCCTTGGACCCCATCTCTCCGCTGCTATACCACTGAAGAGGCAAGTGATTGCGTAACCCCAGAAGTAACCAGAGAGCACATACGCCTGTTGTTGTGCTGTCCAGTCAAAAGTTATAGATCCATCGGGCTGCAATAAATTTAATAATGAGATATGGTTATTTAATCTTGGAGGCAGGCATTGTGAGGAAGCAATGTAATGTGTGCAAATAAGATAAAGGACTATAAGTAGCATCAATATATAAATCTCTATTATACGAAAGTGTCTTAAATTTATAATTTTTGTCTGTCTGTATTACATGCAGTTTAATAACCGAAACATTTGATCCACAATTTAGAGCACTTTTGTCAACAGAGAACTCATCATTTGACCTCAAAAATCAGACCTCAAAAATTCATAAAAACTGTAGAGTAGCAATAAGTTCTTCAATTAACAAATTAGCAAAGTTATCTTTCGTCTCATCCCAACATAAGTTTTAATTGAACTAATGTTTTAAAGTAAAAAAAAACATACGAAAACTTCACAACAGTTCACAAAATATTTGCTTTTAATTAAGTTAATCACATTCATTAATTTGTATAAATAACGACTTAACATTGCTTAGATGTTAAAAATATTAAATGAGAATTGTTAAGATATTTTAGTACTTATATATTGATATTAAATTAAAGCGTTGACTTAAGTATTTATAACTTAAAATTAATTTATCGAATAAATCGTAACAACATATGTTTTATTTGAAAGGCATTAATGTTTTTACTGGAACCTGTCGGACGATAAATAAATGCTATTAAAATTACACATAAAATAATGTTTGTACAAATCGCAATAATATATTATATAGTCGTAAAGTAGATAACAGTTACAATAGGTCTTCAGAGACTACTGGCATTTATTTATAAACGAACAAATTGGCTGATGAAATAAGAAAAATAATCCGTATGGTTTATTTAAATTAGATATTATTTTCTATTCACTATATACAAATGTTGCCTATTGTTTGCCCATTGTTATTATTCCTAAATATAATCTTTGTAACAGTCTTGGTCGCTGGCAATTTTCATCAACAATAACTAGACTATAATACGTGGTTACAATTTGACGCTTATTTTATTCTTAACAAATACAAAGAATGGTTTTGTTTTTAAATTTTATTGTACATATTGTAATATAAGTATAATATTTAAAATCAATTTAAAGTATAAATACAATAAATACCATAATTGCGTGTTTAGTTTCATTGCTTTAATATAGCGTATAACAATTGACTTTAATGTTACGGAGATATTTTTACTAAGGAAAAAAATTCATTGCCTTCATTTACATTTGTAAAAGTCTATTATAAATTAATTTAATATGATACATTTCATATGATAGTTTGAAGTGAACTTGACTGATAAATAAATAAAGATTAGTGTTAATAAATTCTATATACCTGTTGGACATGTCGTGTAACCACTGTCGTACTATTATGTAATGAAGTGTCGTCATTAGTGATGGCCTCACATTCGCTTTGTACCCTGTAACAACGTGGATGCCATTGTTATATTGTCACAGATTAAAGCAATAATTCCTGTTATTTGGAATAATGATAATTCCAACCGTCGGATTATATGGTCGGATATTTTTTTTTATATTGTGCTAAGATAGGAAAAAATACAGAAAGATCTCCATAATGGCAAGTGTTTTTAGGTTTTATTGTTCACGAATCTAAAGGGATTTGGATCCAATTTTTGGAATTGGAATAAAGGGATGGTATGTACCAAAGAAAATCTACCTAATCTTTTTTTATATGAAAGGTGGCAAACGAGTAGACGGCCTACTCGATGGGCAGTAGTGACTGTAGCCAATGGATGTCTAGTCAACCTTAGATTTGAGGAAAAGGGAACGTTAGCAATAAGGAAATGGCACGAAAGGGTGGGAACAGGGAAAACCGGCTCTCTTTTACACATCGCACGAAAAGCAACCATTAAAGACTACTTTCACGCCGATCTTCTGTGAGAGCGCGGTACTTCCCCGACCGAGACAGTCCATGTTCGAGCTGTGGTAAATTGACCACAGCTTGGCTCTACCTTCTTCAATCTACCAAAACGCACGTGTAAAAACTACTGTATGCCAAACCGTAAGAAAGTGGTACTTTTCTTACTACTCTGCGATTTAATTGGTAATGAACGAATTCAGTAGTTTACTTATTATAATTCGTTATGCTTTTAAATATATTTCCTAACATCAGTCATATAATGGATTCGACTTCAAGTGCAAGTTTAAAATCGCGTATTAACAGTTTATGGGACTAAAATACTTTCATTAAAACCATAAGTTTTGTTATTATTGTGGATTCAAAATTATTTTAATCAAAAACTTGTGTGATTGAATAAATCTAAAATTATTTCATAAATATTTTAATCATGACATCCACTCAAATAATTAAGTTGTCTATCAAATTGCACTCATAATTAACGCTTAAATTACTTTCATCATAATATCGATTTAAAAATTGTTATACGGTGAGACGAACTTATTTTATATCCCTTTTAATTTCTATCTTCAATATCATTGAAATAATAAAATAAATTTAACAAAGAACTCATTTCAGTACACCTCTTTTTCAACTCTCTATCTTATCTAACTTGAAGGTAATATGAACAAATTGATTTGTTTGATTTATTAAGAAATCAAGAGATATTTATAATAAAATTATTGTATTCTATATTTTTAAGCTTTAACAATTTCTGAATGTAAATAGATATCTATCTATTTATAGATTTTAGAATAGAAGTTTCTAAAGGTATTCATTTTCGTATAATAATATGAGTAGGAATGGTGTAAGAATTTAAACGATAAAAAAAGCCTAAAAAATACAGTTTAGATATTGTGTGTTTATAAAGACGATTCTAGTTATCCTTGTGTCAAATTGTGACAGTCACGTCATGCAAAACATTGAACAAAAATGCCAGCAGAAGTTTGAGGGTCAGACATTATACGATTTATTTAGTGTTTACTATAAACAATGACTAGTTATAGGAAAAATGCACAAAATACACACTACTAGATACTGTAAGTAGCCCTCTAAGGCTACGAGATCTATATTATCTTTGTTAAATTTAATTACTTCGCTTACCAGCCGAATATTTAAAGATTTATTTAAAACTCCCTTTTTCTCATCTATTTATGACTTTTATAACAACTTCTTAATTATTAAAATAAATAAGTTAAAACAGCGCTTCATTGTAATGAAACTCGTCATTTTGACTTTTTACAATCTTTTTGTGCTCAGTTTTTCTGGCGCCACTAAGGAGAATCTAACGATGTGCAGTTAGCTAGAATCGATTAATTAGTTTTAAAGATATATGTATTCAAATTATACGTTAATTAATTTATGTTATGTCTTGAGTTTCTTATATTCCTCATTTCAATTTTGTTTCAATCATGAACGTTTTTTACGCATGGCCGCCCCTTAATAGTTGTGGGTTTATAATAATTTCGATGATTCGCATCTTTTACTTTCTGCCACTAGTTTTACCGTCGTAATATATTTTTGTGACCATTTACCTAAATCAGTGAAAGTCGGGTTGGAGGGAAGAAATTTTCATTCTGGTTACCTACTCAGACAACAGATGGTTGAATACAACAACATTATTTAATTGCAATAGGGCAAGTGCTTACGATTTAGTTTCACCGCGATCAGGAACCATGGCAATGATATTGACGCTCATGTTAACACGCAGCATGTAATTGACCCAGCAGGCGAAGAACATCATTAACGCCACGTTTAACCTTGCCGGGATAACATCTGAAATAATAATAAAAGGAAATTGTAAAACTCATTGTTTTAGCTTTGTTATATCTTTTTCAATATTTATTTCTCATAAATTTCATTATCTTATTTTTTCTTTTTGTCAGTTAGCCTAAGCTCTAAATCTTATCTGAAAATGAATGTTTATAAAACTGGTATCTGGACATCTCTGAGGACGAAAACAGTAAGATAATAAAATGACAAATTTCACTTTTATCGTTTTAAAATATAATATCTGGACACCGTCTTTATTTTCGTGTTTTTTTTTAATTTCGTTTTGGCATTTTTAAGTGGACACGTCAAGAAGACACCAAACTATATAAATCAAGAATTAATTTCTTATTCTAAAGTCAAAACAAGCACTCCTGTTACTTAACAACGCCATTTGCTGTTGTGTCGTTAAAACAGTTAGCAAAAAGTAGTGTTATATTTTAAACGCCTCCTTTTTGTTATTTTTTTTTTCATAAAATGACATTTTCCATAAATGATTCCTAGCTAGATCGTTTTATCGCCCCGAAACCCCCTATATACTAAATTGTATGAAAATCATTGGAGCCGATTCCTAGATTCCAATTGTATATTTATATACAATAATTCCTCATTTAAAGATATAACATAAGTTCGTTAGATACGGATACTCTTCCTTAATTTTAATTCATCCCTTAAATTTAAAAAGTTTTAGTTTTTAGATTGGACTGAATCTCCCTCACTTACATAACATAAGGATATTTTCGTTTTTGCAATTTGTTTACTTGAAAAAATACGTTTTCTATTATTGTTAAATGTTTCATGTCAATTACAAAAAATCGGGTCTAAGTTTCTGGACGATTTTAATTTAGTATAATATGTATATTACACCATGCTATCTTGACCTCTACAATATTTACAACACTTACAAGATCAATATGACATTTAAATATGATCGATCATTTTGAATGAATTGATGAATCGCATAATCCTAATAACCGTGTTATTTTACCTCAAATAAAATCTTTTTTGGGGAAGTCCTGCAATTTAGGTATTAAATCTTAAAGCAAAAATTTAAAACATATTTAGTCTCCGAAAAAGTTATATTTTTGTGACTTAATATTTCTTGTATTCAATAAAATTTGCTTAATTGCTCAAATATATTTATACAAATCTTTTCCTTGTGTGGGAAATACTCGTAAATATTTTAATAGTCGTAAGATGTAAATACATATTTTAAACACAATGACAGAAGAGTAACTTGTATTTGCGAAGTCCACACCAGTGTTTGTTAAAATAATTCATAATCGAACTACGAGATGTACAAGGAAATATTTATAGTATTTGCTATAGTCAAGTGCGCGACCTCTTAGCGTACGGAGCCGGTTCGCGGAAGATAACTTTCAAATGCAATGTCAATAGCAATTGGACATTGACAGCTCGGCTGCGACTTTTATAGAATAAAGTGTAATTAATATTTCAATAAAATTGAGGCAAGCGAAAGCGTTACAACCTAGTTGTGATGGAAATATCCATTATGCCAGAGACTAATACATAAATGACACATTTCATTAATTACTTGTGATTGACAGATTATAAAAAAATCGCATCTAATTTAATTTCTAGGTTTGGCTCTATATCTTAATCCTGTGATAATATTTAAAAAAACAAAGTAGAACTATTGTAATTTATTATGTATCTTGTATATTTGAAAAAAGATACTTATTTACTACAAATCTTGGAAGAAATGGAAGAATTTAGTATATTAGAATTTAGAATTTAATTTTAAATGCAATTATTGTAGTATAGTTTTAAATTCAGCATAATTTCGTTAAAACTTAAATATTAGCCTGTAAATAAAGTTGCTTGTAATTAAATATTCATATATGAGATGTATATTTTTTAATTTCGTAATAAATAAGTTATGTTATATGTAATTCCCTATGTGGAGATATGTCGGTATAATAATTTTAACTTACTAATAGAGAAATATATGTATTTCTCATGAGATTGAACTTATTCCTTGAACAAATTCTGTAATTGCGTCATTTACAAGAAGTATAACGTTAAAATTCAAATTCTTATAAGTAAGATTCTCGATGAATATCTACAAGTATATGTTATAGGTTTTCGTAATCTGAAGAGACTATGGCACGCATAATGAAATATGTACATAATTTTTACCTTATTTGATATATTTTTCAATAGTTTTAATGTGTAAACAAATACTGAGCTCAACAATTGAAAACTATGTTTTTGTGATACACTTAACGTGGTTTATTATTCTACAGTGTGATCATGTAAAAAGGAGACAAAAGTGTCTTTCATCACACACGAAAAATTTCGTCTCATTTAAATGTAAGTATACGCACGAATGTTTTATAAATGACAAATTATCCTTATCATTGTTTATAAGGCGATGAGGCTGTACTAAAAGAAATATTAATAACGATTCTTAAATATCTGTTATTATTTTAATTAAAGAACAAGTTCTTTAATAAATCCATCTACCATTATATTATATTGAAAATATAAGAGCAGCTTAAGAAGTTTTATTTCAAAAAGTTTAGTTATTACTTTCAATAACCTTATATATATTCGGAAATCATACACCGCCAATATAGAGAAACTTGTTCCACAAATTATATATCCAATTATGCATACGCCATCTATCTAAATTTCTTTTTTGACAAGGTAACGTTATCTACATTCTCAAAAAATTATTTAGGCATAAGCTCATATCATAGTATCAAGGTATATAAAGGAAATACACGGCAGCATCACCCAGTGTGGGAAAATCTTATCTAAAAGCCAATTACAGTAGGTATAATCTTAAATATATACAATCAAAGAACAAAATTAACGTCCATTTTCTTCAAACTACATGAAAAAAAAATATACCTAATCATATTTTCACGATAAAGGAAAAGACAATTCGTTACTGTTATTTACAGTAGAGTTGTACTCATCTTCAGACAACGTGATGTTTATACAAACATTCATAGATGGAAAACTAGTTTTAAAGCAAAATGTATTTTAAATTTCTCAGCTGCAGGGGTGGACACCATTTTGACAACTGTGACTTAGAAAGGACTCCAAAGAGTATAATTTATAGGACAGTCCTCTGGTTTTAGTTATAACATCATATTTTTTACTTTACTCTTCAACAGTATATTGAAATCGTTTTACAATTAGAAAAAAGAAACTGTTAAAAAAATGAAAAATTAGGTGCAGGATATTAGCCATTATTAGCTGTCACTTCAGCTCATAGTCGAATTTAAATATTTTAGTTTTGTATGTAGTTTCCTGTTTCACAGAGCGCTTGGGATCATTCAGCGTATGATTCATCAATTTTTTTTCTTATTAATTCTCATCCTTACCTTTGAAAACAATACATAGTTTACAAATTAAAACCTGATTATACAGTGATGTAACAAGATAAGGTATAAAATTTACAATGTAATGGATATTTTTTCTTGTATCTTTATTTCTATATTAACAACTTCCATATTCTACTACTCGATGTTTCTCGTATACGTTTAATTTATATTGTTTTACTTAACATACTTTTTTCTACTGATTATAAACCATTAAATCCTATTTTCTAAAGATGCATGGACAACTTTCGAACCCAGCGGATTTTATGTTTTGTTTTCAGTACCTCATTATCATATTTAAAAACTGTTTGGAGTAATGAAAAATTTACCGGGAGATAAAATGTATATTCCCAAAAGTTCGTTTTGCAGATATGGTTAATTGTTGTTGTTCTTTGAACTGTAACCAACCGTAGTGTCAATTCAACCTTGAGCCTCCATTTTATGGTCATAGTTGATTTTTTTCATCAGTACATTGTTCATTAAATTATTATCATAAAAATTACTATTACTTGATAACCTCTGAAGGAAAATCCACATTCTTGGCAGAAGTATTTTATGAGGTGAAACTTTTCTCCAATCATGGTACAGGAATCCCTAAATTGTCATCATTTTCATTAAATAATTTTATTACAAAAACAACATTATTCTAAGTCTAGCCCTATAGTTTATATGCTATATATTATATATACTATACTGTATAATATAGTATATAATATACTACGAAAAGTGGAGGGAGTTTTTTTCTCTCAATTTTCACTCAATAATGAATGGTTAAGAATTCAAAAAATCTACGATTTGACTGTACAACTGTCAGTTGTCATCTCTTAAATAAGATAAAAAGCTTTTGATTGATTCATTTATTAAGTGTTAACCCAACCACTAGAGAATCAAAACAATTTTTATTTTAATTTTTTTTATTATTTTCTTACTTTAATTTTATATTTATCATTTCAAACGAAGCCTTATTATAAATGCGATGGATATCCATTGAACAACTCAGAAATAATATACATAATTTAGAATTTAATAAACTATTTTTTTTCATCGAATGGTTAATATTTTCAAATTGATATTTCAGCTAGATGGCAATAATTCAAGAAACATTTTATTCAATAAAATACTGGGCACTAAAACGCTATGGCGTTAAAAAGACCTCATTTCTAAATATAGAGCCACATCTTTCTTCATCACCTATAAATTATTTTACTAGAAAGAGTGTTTAATTGACCGAAATAAAGACACCAAAGAAATCCCTTGAATTTTGTATTACTATGCTATGTAACTGGGTATATAATCGTATTATTACATACAAAAAATATTACTACATTGACAAAAAGCCTTTAATAACGGTCTACGCAGGTAAATACCCAGACCAGGTAAAGTCTTGCCTGTTAGAGACGCAGGATTTTGTATTCAATTATCAGAACTATTATCTAGTTCACCATGACACGACTGATGTAACCAATCTTGGCCTTTTAAAAAAAATATTTATTTTATGAATGTGATCTTCGCAACAGGTCAGCAGTGGTAAAAATCAAAATCTAAGACTACTAATTATTCTCAAATTCTCTGATCCAATAAAAAAGCATACCTATGGTTTGAACAAAAGAAACTGAAGGAAACCTTTACTTTTTGCACAATTAAGGACTAACA